TAAAGTCACCTGGACTAAATATGCTGAACTATCGTTGACACTTATGAATGTTCTAAACATTTCCATAAACTTATTTGATATTCTTTGTGGCTACAGAGGTGTTGTTTCCCTTCTTGTATTCAAACAGCATTACATCCTGAATGTGTATCTTGTAGTGTGCCATCACTATAAGGGATTAGAGTATACTAAGCTTTACACATTATATAGGCTACACTAATGAGACGTTTAGGCAGTTCATTTAACTATTATGCATGATGTGCGTTTTTTGGGGGGGGTGGTTAATAAAACTGTTCTAAAACCCAACATTAATTTCTTGATGACCTAATAGTTTCACGTTACAATATGAAGTCATTCTAGGAAGAAAATGGGTAATTTAGATTTATTTTTCAATTTTGTTTTTGGTCTAATTGACCAATGTTTTATAGAGTTAGGATAGAGAAAATAACAGATATAATATAAAGTTTTACTAAAAACAAACATTTAAACTGTATTTAGGAGGTTTTAGAGATTACACAAATCAAATCTGAGATTTTTTAGATGAAGAAAAGTATTTTTAATCTTAACTTGAAAATCATTTTGCACACAGACTATTCAAAACAAATACTTGATATATTCACAGACAAATCTGTTTTAAGTTTATTCAAAATAGTTTACAAAAATATTATTATTTTTATATGAAAGACATAATGTTTACTGAAAGACTATCAAATTTTGTGAACATATTCATACTATATTAAAAGTTTATAGTATCAAATCTATAAAGACATTATACGAGTACAAAGATACAAAGAGGTCATGTAGTTGGTCAAAAACGACCGAGCCCGTGTTGAGAGAGTTAAGTAAACTGCAAGAGTCCTAATTTGACAAATTCATATATATATATATACAGATTCTCAACAAATAAGAAGAGACTGTATTAAATTATTCACCTGTCTTGTGTATATTATTTTAAGTCCAAATTATTATTAAAATCCCACAAACCCTGGAATGGTTAACCGTGGGTGTTGGTTAGAAAACTGAAAAACACACAAGAGATGGATTCCATCAAGCCTGAAGAAAAATTCCAGGTGACAAATAGAAAATTATATTTGTTTTTAGACATT